CCCCAAAACCCCAAAACCCCAAAACCCCAAAACCCCTTCATTTATAATCAATAAAAAATGAGAAATTAAAAGATAAATACCTGAAATATTTGATAAACTTAAATGATTTTATCATTTCACTCTTTCATTAACTTGTGCTTCGAGGCAGATCATTTGATGACTGATTCTCTCTACTAGGTCGTTATAAGTTACTATCAGGTCTTCTACCTCTTATTAGTTTTATTAGCAAGTTATCATTTAACTAGCATGTTATATGTTAATCTTCTTTAAGTCTTAAAGTTTCTCATTTACATCTATATTTGATTATCAATTATTTGCCAATAATGAAGAATTATGATTTGAATTGATTGAGCAGCTTACCAAAGACTGGCTCAAAGTTAAGATACTGCTCTAGCTTTTAGATATTTTCAAGATACTCCACAAACTGATTTAAGTTTTACTGACACTCCAATATCAAATTACTTTTCTTCTACAAATCCATGCACTATGTCTTAAAAGATGGCTCTTTCTTCAAAAAGCTCTCCATTTATTCATCTGCATAAGAAATTACTAAAATAAACAAGTATTTACATTTTTCAAAGAGCTCATTCAGAAAGAAATGCTTATCCTCTAACACCTTAATGAAATCATCCATTTTTTAAGTCTTCTTATCAAGAGTCTCAAGTTAAGCTTCCTAGTAGGTCTGCATGTCCTAATCCTCAATTCCTAGATATCTCTCTAATTCCATTACTCTCGCTTCCATTAAATCTAAATCAGCAATATCTATATTCTGATTAAGCTGTAGATTTTATGCGTCCATTTTATTCAAATTTACTTTTAATTGCAATTATTAAAATATAAATCAAATTAAAGATAATATAATCACAATTGATTATTTTATATCTATCATTACAATAAGAGTTTATTATAGTCCTTCAGACATCAAATTCATCATTGTGCAAACTGATCATATTATAAAGCATTGTTCTGATCTCTAATCTTTTGGTGTAAACATACTTCTTATCAATGTGTGCAAGAATAATAGGACTTATGTACTTCAGATCGCCTAGGTTGCCATCTCTTGATATAAAGTTGAGCACTAGAGACTCAGCAAAGCTCATTAAGTATATTCCACAGTCATAATTATTGTGCTGCTTAGGAATGTTATCCACATACTCAATCTTCATACTTTGATTCAGATTACTAAGTCCCCATCCAAAATTGAATGGTTATTTATGAGTTTCTTTGATTTTTTCTTGTTTGAGTACGAATTTCATATTTTACATGAGTGCCGCAGTGTTTTCTATCATAGAATACTCACCATGAGAAGAGTCGAAGTAGAACCATGAGCCTTTATAATAAACGAGTAATGACCAATGAGTGCCTCCATCTAATTCAATTAATAAATCATAAAGTCGTACTCATTGATGTAGGATCTTGGTTGTTGTTGACAGGCATTATGATCAATTCAGCAAGATGCAGGTCTAAATGACCATACATTTCTATAAGATCTTCTTTTTTATTGGTCATATAAATATCAGCGACTACTGCTGGATCAAGAAGCTTAATTCTTTTGTTGTATTCCTGAATTCAAATATTAGATTTGCCAGATAAAATTTAGACTACTTACCATAGGAATAAGTTCATGCGAGATATACTCAAAGAAGTAATTGATCACTTGATCATTAAGCCAACTTTATGGATTCAAACACAGGAGGTCGCTCTTTCTAATCGTAGATGAATGATATGTCAATAAAATTTCGCTCATTTGGTTAACTAACTTGATTTAATATTGTTATTAATTAAATATTCCAATTGATTAATAACATATAATTTAAAGAAAGAGGGGTTTTGGGGTTTTGGGGTTTTGGGG